TTTAGGTGTTTAGGGGTTTAGGCTTCAGGGTTTAGGGCTTAGGGTTTAGGGGTTTAGGTGTTTAGGGGTTTAGGGTTCAGGGTTTAGGGTTTGGGGGTTGAGTTGTATAGGGATTTCAGACGTGAAATCTGAGGTGTTGAGGATTGGGCTGAATGAGAGTAATGTTGCGGTTGTAGCCCACACCCCAAAACCGTAGAACCAAAACCCCAAAACCCCCAACCCTAAACCGTAACCCTAAACCCTACACCCTAAGCCCCCTAAATCCTTAACCCTAAACCGTGATGCCTCAGTCAGGTTCAGGTTTACAGGGTTCCGCCAGATGTCCACTCGTATCTGAAAACTGTTAGCATTTTGGAAACCTGTCAGGAAGAAGGACTCATTGTTTTGTTTTAAGTGGCTGTTTGGGAAGTTGGCTTAGGATTGAGTTAGATGGATGTTTAAAGTTAAATTTTCAATCTTGGGGCTTAAGCCTTAATTCCTAAACTCTCAGTTCTAAACCCTAATCCCTAGCATGTTTCGGATGAGCTGCTTTGTTTTTCGCTCAAGCCAAGCCCTGTGTGTGGTAGTGTCCTTGTAGGATCAGGGGACTTGATTAGTAAGTTGGGCTCTAAGTAACTCAAACTGGGGGTATAAGTAGTCCTATGTAAGCTATATGGGGCTCGCCGTGAAAGTTGCTGCTAGTTGCGGCGCCTATCATAGTAGCCACTGCGCTTGGTTCTGGTTTGGGAGCGAGGATTTGTATACAGGATCCAGCTTAGGGAAGACAAGGTTTGCCCAAGCGCTAAACTCCCTGACGGCATGCCTCATAGAGACCTCGAAAACCGAAATTCGTTCTCGAGCCTGCTTGGCCACAGGCCCTGTGAACGTGACCCCAAATCTGAAGCCGACGGAGTTGAGGGAATGCAGAGCACGTTTTTTTTTGGTATGCCAATGCCCCACAGCCTTCAAGCTCGTACCTCTGTAGTCATAATACGGAGTGCGCGTACATGTGGCTTGCTATATCAAGTTCGAAGACTTACATGGAATTGTTTTCGCCAGCTTCTCAAGCTCTATTGACGTCTTAACATGTTGCAACACTGAAGAATGCCTATAAGGGGCGCTTTGAGTTAGCACTGTAGATCTCTACCGGTTTGAGCCAATGGCAACGACGGTTGACGCGGAGGTTCTTGCTGGGTACATCACTCTGGCCAACTTAGAAGGCCTGCGAAAGTTTGCACCACCTGATTTTGACTGGCGCCAGCCTCTCGGTTCTGCAAAAGAACCAGCTCTCGTACTGGTAATAACCCAAGGGCTGATCACAGGCAATCATGCAAGCCAACTGCAGATCGCGGAATGGCTGCTAAAAGCTGGGGCAGAACCAACATACAAGATTACACAGAAGCCTGGTTGTTGTCGTGTTTGGAAGGTGAATCAGAAAGATACCACCGAACTCATGGTTCCGTATGAGGGCCACTCCGCAGTTTCCTTTGCCTTTAGCTGGCTTGGCCAGTTCCAGCTGGGCAAAGGCGGTGCGGACTGGTCGAAAGAGCGAATTTCGAAGACATTGTGGGGCTCTTTGCGAGGACGACACCTGGCAAGAAATCCCATGGTGCGGATGTCACCGTGCCGCAAAGTACCGTGGACCTGTGGGAGTCCATGCGCGACTCGACCTCATCACACAACGTGATCTTCGAAGCTTCGGATGGGGAGGTGTCGGCCCACGACCAGATCCTGATTCTTGCCTCGCCAGTCTTGAGAGCGATGCTCGAGTGTGCGATGAGGGAGGGCGCCAGCAGGCGCATTCAAGTCAAGGATTCTTCATCCACGGGCGTTTCGCTCTTCCTGGATGTCTTGTACACGAGCTCTACTCACCAAGATCTTGACCACAAGACCATGCTTGTGGCTTTAGACTTGGCCCACCGCTGGCAGGTACATGGCCCGGTGCAGACCCTGTGCACCGCGCTGCAGCGCATGATCGATGCCGAGAGCTTCGTGCCCATCGCAGAGGCTGCAGTGCTCAAGGGCCTGCCAACCCTGGAGCGAGCATGTGCCTCCTTCGGCCGCGCCGATGAGCAGGTGCAGACGATGCTGAAGAAAGGTGCTCTCCCGGCAGTCGTTCATAAGCTGCTGGGAGAGCCTGAGCATGCCAGTGGTGAGCAGCAGCCGCCGAAGAAGCGGGTGCGGCTCCTCTCGTCATGAGGAGCTCGTGCAGCATGACTACTACTCTTCATCTCTACCGAGTGCAAATAGGCTCCTTAGTAGTCCTTTTTGGGATTACCTTATAGGGTTCACAAAATATAAACCACAAAGAGGAAATACTCAGGAGGGTGCAGTTTTGTCTGCATGTGTCACCCGGTCGCTCGCACCTTGTTCCAACTCGAGAGGCGAAAAAAGGAGAGGTGTCGCTGCAAGGACCATTTGTCTTGTTTCCAAGATGGTCCATGTACACGACTATGAAAATGGAATGAGGTCCCAAAAACCATAACAAGATCGTCATGGGACCTAATATGCATATGGACCCTCTGGGTTTGCAGCGTGTGTAAATTAAGGGTAAATTAAGGCCTAGGGTTTAGGCTCAAGGCATGTAGAAGAATGAGCAGGCTATGACACGAAGACGCCGTACTAGCAGGGATGTAGCTTCAAACCAGTTGACTTTGGAAGCAACCGTGCGGGCCGGTTTGGGGTCTTAAACGCATTAGGACTTTCAGCGCGTGGGGTGCGAAGCAACAGTTGCAGAAGCTGACACGAAGCAAGAACACTCTTGGAGGTTCATGAGTAGTTATAAGTGGAGTTATAAGTCCCCGAACATAGGTTATAACTATAGTTACCCGACTTATAACCCTACTTATAACTACCCATGAACCTCCAAGCTGTCCCCTCAAGAAGTCCAGCGAGTCTATCCCAGATGGCCTTTGCCAGCCCGACAGCCTCGAGCGACTTGCAAGCCAACTCACTCCAAACCAGAAACATGTACTAACAGCACCCACAAAAGGATTGGCAAGCCAGACATTCCCTGAACCCCCTAAACCCTAAACCCTAAACCCCCTAAAGTTTGAAGTGCCAGCACCCTAAACCCTAAACCCCCTAAACCCTAAACCCTAAACCCTGAACCCCCTAAACCCTAAACCCCCTAAAGTTTGAAGTACCAGCAGCGGCTGAGCGAGCCAAGAGCCCGGCTCAAGTCGCGTTCACAACCTGAACCTGCAAGTGTTTTTTTTAAACCTGAAGCCTTATAAGCCCGAAATCCCGAAACCGTAAACCCTAAACCGTAAAACAAAAAAACCGAAAACTATTGATTAAGTACACGCCCTAAACCGAATACCCTCCCAAACTATAGGAGCCAAGGGCCCCGAACACCCCAGTACCGAGACTTTTTCAGCAGGCTGCTGGAGACCTCACCTCTTACTGTTGATGATATAAATCCCATCAGGGTTTAGGGTTAGGGTCCCCTTTTAGGCTTCCTTAAAGGGATCCATAAGGGTTTCCATAAGGGTACTATAATAGGTGTATGGTGGATGATATAAAATCCTGCATTACCTTAAGGACCCTAAACCTATGGGAATTATGATAGATTCCTTATTTTGGGTCATGCAGGATTTTTATCATCAACCCCAAACCCTAAACCCTAGTTCCAGGCTCCCGCCCACGATTCCTAAGTTCAACGACTAGGGGGGGAACCTCAGCTGCAAGGCGACCACCTCCTTCAAGATGAGTTTCATATTCTGAGACGGTTAGGGGTTTAGGGTTTTTAGGGGTTTAGGGTTTAAGGTTTAGGGTTTAGGGTTTCGGGTTAAGGGTTTGGGTGTGAATACTGTGCAGCCTCGGCCACTGGAAGCCTAAGCCCCAAACCCGAAATCCCGAACCCAACAGCGGACTCACCCGCTTGGATCATCCAGCGTTGAAAGGCACGTCCAGGATACTGCCGCAGCTACATGCTGGGCGAGCCTGAAGAGAGCTGTACCTGGTCATCCTTCCCCAAGGGCAGGATGTAAGGACTTTTGCTTTCGGGTCGAAGGTTTAGGGTCTAGGGCTCAGGGATCTTTAAAGCTTGAAAGATGAAGGCGCAGGGATTGGGGTTTAGAAGTTGTTCGGTCAATTTCGCGTTGAGGTGCAGAGTTGTAGACTTTCGGGCTTGAGCCCAGTTGAAGACGTACAGTGTCCTTATGTGTCTAATGGATACCGCCCCCTCCCTAAGCTGGTAATCCGGAAGAGGACTACCATAGTTAGAATGTTTACACCCCTAGGACTTAGGGATGATCGAAAGATTGAAAGTCGGGATTAGGGTGTCCCTTTCAGGTCACCTCGGTCCATAAGTGGGTCCATGTATGTATGTATGTATATATATATATATTTTTGTAATTACATCTTTGTCTCTCTTTCTCTCTCTCGCTCTCTCTCTCTTTCTCTCTGTCTTTCATAATTGAATCCTAAAGCCCAGGATACTTTCATCGCATACAGAGTCTACAAGAAAGGGCACCAGAACATACACGGGCACCTTATAGAAAACCTTATGGATCCCTTTACGGAGCCCTACAGAGACCCGTTTAGATCCCCTTAAGGGACCCTAATTTACTGTGTGGCTGGTTAAGAGACTTTGGCGGCTCATCAGTTTGGGTTCCAGCCTTCGAGACCCCCAGCACGAATATAGGGGCCTAGATTCCTATTTTGGGGGGTTCTTTATTCTAGTTATACCTTAAGCTACAAAAACCTACTTTTTGGTAGGGTCCCTATAAATTCTAAGATATAGGGTTTGTACTAAGAACCTAGTGCAGTATGCCCCAAAATTTCAAAACCCTACTCCAACTGCCAAAGGCTCCTATAGTACGCCCTAAATGCCGAGCGATGGCGTTCTGAGCCAACCAGAACGCAGTCTTTGTGAAGCTCTACATTAGAATGTGTTATGTTTTTTGTTTGTGTTAGAGGGGGGGGGAGAGGGGGGCCTAAACCCTAAACCCTAAACCCTAAACTGTGTTTAGACCCTAAACCCCACATAAACCCAAAGCCTGGCCTGCAAAACGGCGCTTAATTTCATTCTCCTTGGAAATCCTCGGGTTCTAGAAGACTAAACCCAAAACCCTAAACCCTAAACCGTTGTCAATCCAAGGCTTGGGTTGCAAGAGCTCGTTTCGGGCTTAGGGCTTAGGGTTGAGGGTACAGGGATTGAGCCTTTACCCATAGGCTCCTTAGTAGTTCCTTTTTGGGATTACCTTATAGGATTCTATATATATATATATAAACCACAAAAAGGAACTACTTAGGAGCCTATGGGTAATTTGGGTGCAGGGTTTGATTAGCGTTCAGGGCTCAGGGCTCTGGCGCCCTGCAGAGCCTGTCAAATCAGCAGTTACAGAGCCGCGTCGTGGCAAAAAGAGCCTTCCGAGCAGCAGTGCCGCAGAATACTATATCTATCTATCTATCTATCGATAGATAGATAGATAGAAAGATAGACAGGCCTTCGTAATATTGAAGCCTGAATAATTGCCAACATTATTCCAGAGGGTACCATGATTTGGCTCTACTGGCTCTACGAACATATGCCTCAAAATCCCTTTTCTGCATATTGGGGCCCTTACATTACTTCGTTCGATCAGCAGTGTATAGGGTTTGGACATTGCATTTGCATATCCGGACTGTCATGACATACGGATGATGATATAAATCCTGCATTACCCATAATAAGGAATATACCATAATTCCCATATTTAGGGTCCTTAAGGTCATGCAGGATGTATATCATCAACCGTATCATCGCGAATCAAATCTCCAACCCCCTTGAAGCCCGTGGGCCGGGTCACCTCGGCTGCAGCTGAGTTATATGGGTTTAGGGTTTAGGGGGTAGGGTTTAAGGTTTAGGGTTTAGGCTTTAGAGTTTGGGGTTTAGGGTTTAGGCTTTAGGGTTTGGGGTTTGGGGTTTAGGGTTTTAGAAGTGCCCTCCACTCAATCCCTCTCAACTACCTTTGGACTTGTACAGTTTACTGGTGCCAGTCCAAACCAGCCAGCTGCATGCACTCTGCACAACCCCGAAGCCCTAGCCATAAACATTGAATGCTGGCACATAAAGCTCAGAAGATCAGCTTCGCTAAGAGCACAAAGAACAAGAACGCCCAACTCCAAAATCCAGACCCCTGAACTAAACCCCAAAATCGAAGGTTTCTAGACAACCCTAAACCCTAAACCCTACTCTAGAGCCCCCCCCACCCCCCCCCCCCTCGCCCGTTTCTGGAGGCCTCACTCCCCTTGAATGCGACCCTAAACCCTGACACGTAGCCGTAAAGACTCAACACCCTATAGGGTTTCGGGTTTCAAGACACCCTATGCCCGACACTGAAACCTCAACCCTGTCTTAAGCTACCAAAACGTACCTTTCTTGTAGGGTCTATAATAAGGATGTGAGGGCCTATAATAAGGACCTACGAAAAGTAGGTCCCCAAACCCTAAACCCCAACCCCTAAACCCTAAAACCTAAACCCCAAGCTCTAAACGCTAAACTCCGAAGGGGAAGGTTGACATTGAGGTTCTTCGGTGTAGGGTTTAGGGTAACTTGACTCCTAAGCAATCAGCTACGCGGGACTCAGGGAGAATACTCCGGGAAATCACTATTCTATAACCCATGCAGCAACCCTTGCACCTAGAGTAAACTGCATAGATCTCTGATTCTTAAGGCCCAAAATGATCACCTTTTGGGGA